TGATTGCTTACTTATTTAGAAGAAGGTAAGTGGCTAATTTTTAAAATTTTGGACATTTGACCCTTATTATTATTATTTTTAATGCAGTCTCCTAGATAAGAAAGAGTGTAAGTTAAGTAAAAATTTCTTAAAATCAGCTTCTTTACTATTTTTTAAAAGTAGAGATGGTTCAGGTGGCTATTGTTGCTTTGTGAACTTGAGTCTTCATCTCGGGCAGCTCAAACATTCAGGTACCTCTGCTGAGGACAAACTTGGTGCAGAAATTAAACTTTGGCACAAAGTGTATGTTCTTTTCACTACATTTCATCCCTTACTATTCATTTCTGCATAAGATTTCATTTTATTATAGAAGTAATAGAAGAAACATTATTTTAAAAAGCCATTCCTAGGGGCTGTGGCTCAGTGATAGAGCGCTCGCCTAGCATGCATGAGATGTTGGGTTCGATCCTCACCACCACCACATAAAAATAAATAAAATAAAGGTATTGTGTCCAATTACAACTAAAAAAAAAAGCCATTCCTAGGGCTAGGGCTGTGGCTCAGTGGTAGTGCACTTGCCTGGCACATTCTATTCTCAGCACCAAATATAAATAAACAAAATAAAGGTCTATCATCAAGTAAAAAAAATATTTTAAAAAGCCATTCCTTTAAAATATTTTTTGGTTTGATTTCTGCAGTGCTGGGGATAGAACCCAGAGCCTCACATGCCAGGCAAGTCCTCTAGCACTAAGCTACATCCCCAGAACCCTTTTAGAAATTTTTTATTATTTTAGTTTTTAATTTGTTCAAATTAATTATATATGACAGTAGAATGCATTTTGACACATTGTACACAAATGGAGCACAACTTCTCCTTCCTCTACATGGTGTAGAGTCACAATGGAAATTCAATCATATAAGTATATAATGTCTGTCTCATTGAATCATCCTTCCCATCCCCAAACCCCCTCATCTAAAATATTTTTAAACAGCAAACAGGCTGTCTAATAGGGACAGACTACCTTAATTTGTCTTTTAAAAAGTTAATAAAAATTTTAATTTAAAAAGATTTAAAAATAAATGTTTAAATAGAGAAAAAAGGACATACAAATAACATCCATATGACTGTGATATGATTAAAAATAGTTTGAGGCTGGGGGTGTAGCTTAGTGGTGGAATGTGTGCTTAGCATGTGAAAGGACCTGAGGTTCACTCCCCAGAACCACAAGAAAAAAAACAAGGTAACATCATTATGCCAGAATAAATTTCTTGGGATATTCCTTAATTTACAGAATAGATGATGAATATGCAGCAAAATTCGGAACTTCAAACTGTGACAAAAATGTTTACAGGTATTTGTTAGAATTCTGTCATTTTTAACCTCTGTGTTTGAAATCCAAAGCAGACAGGATGAGAATCTGGCTCCCCACCTGCTCCTATGTATAGGCTTTGCAATGGCCACAGCTCTCTGACAGCAGTTCCCTGGGCAGATTCCCTTCCAGATGGCAAAGGTGGAATGGGTCAATATTGCTGACCATCAAGCAGGGAAAAGCTGCACTTCTCACCATAGCCGATCATGGTTTCCCCTTACCCTCTCAGCTGTCTCCTTAAAGTCAGTTGCATGTGATAAGTAAGAAAAGAGAGGAGGATCTGGAAACAGGTAGGACAAATGGAGGAGGATGGCACAGGCATTGGGGACAGTCTTGGGCAGAAAGCACAGGCTGAAAGAAAGACAGGTGGATACTTCAGGAAGTAGGAGACACAAGAAGGAGCAGAATCAGGCTGAGCTCACACAAGCTGCCCTAACCTCCAACCTGGAAACCAAAATCGTCTAAAGCCATATTTCTATTTATAGAAACCAATGTACATTTTAAAGGGAAAGATAAAAATATGTGAACAAGGTCAATTTTGTTTACCAAATTATATACTTCAAATGGTTAAAATGGTAAATTTTATTGTGCCACAAAAATTAAATTTACTGTGACAAGTAAATGCCAAGTATTTTGATTGGTCTTCTGTCTCTAGAGATAATTGATAGTTCATTTAAAAAAACATTACTCCCTTCTGTGTGAAGTATGACACAAGAGGAATGTCCCAAGTTCTTTATTGTACCTTAGGAATATAACAAGTACAAATACAATTTTGAAATTTGAGATAATTCACATATCAAAAATTCCACCCATTTAAAAAGTGTGCAGTATACTTATACTGGTTATTAGTGTAGTCTTACGAGTTGTGCAACCATCAATATTAGTATCATAGTATCCATCAATATTAGTATCCATTAAACAGTTACTCTCATTCTTTCTAGCCCCTGACAACCATTACTTTACTTTCTGTCTTAATAAATTTGCCTGTTCTGGATATTTCTTATAAATGGATTCATACCATATGTGGCTTTGAATATGTGTGTGTGTGTGTGTGTGTGTGTGTGTGTGTGTGTGTGTATGTGTGTGCTTGTGCACACTTGTGAGAGAGATGGCATAGTTTTGAGGTACATCCCTCAGAAAATATCAACACTTTGTTCCTTTATGTGGGGGAGGGTACTGGGTATTGAATCCAAGGATGCTCTATTACTGAGCTACATCCCCAATCCTTTTTGTTTTTATTTCAAAACCAGGTCCTGCAAAGTTTCCCAGGCTGGCCTTGAACTTGTGACCTCCTGTTTCAGATTCCCAAGTGACTGGATTTACAGGCATGCACCCCTGTGCCTGGCCACTTTGTTCATTTTTATGACTGAATAACATTCCACAGTATGGATAAAGGACATTTTATTCATCTAGTCATCAAGTGGTGGACATTTGGGTTGTTTCCATATTCAGCTATTCTACAAACTGCTGCCATGAACAAATTGCATATATATATATAT